AAAATGGTAGAGTTGCCATTTACTAACTTAGCCAGCAATGTTTTCACAAATTAGTCGGCATCTTATGGTGAAAACATCACTTGACTCTGCACCACCATTTGCTCTGCTACATGTGCTGCTTCAAGTGCCAAGAGGGTTGGATTCAGAGGCACAAACCATGTGTTGACAACATTTTAAAATAAACCAGATATCTTTTTCTCTATTGTGTTCTGTAAAACAAACAAAAAAACAACATGTATGCTGGAACCAGTTCATCTGTGATAGACTGGTGTTACCCAATAATATCAGCTGACCAATAATATCAGCTGATCAGGCTCTAAATATCACATTAAAAATAGCACCTTTTAATCGCAATGATCCACACATACACACTTCCAGATGCTCTTGTTCTCTGCTTCTGTGTTTCATTCGTGCGACTACTGTTTTTGTTTTCCCACTTACTGTGATCCTGTTATGTACAATCTGTTACTTCCCACCTTGCTCTCACTTATTTACAGACCATTGTTCTCCAGGTGGTATGAAGTTGTGCATTTACAACACAAGAAAGAAAATCCTGTCGTCCCTGTAGTCCTATAGAGATGAAAAAGTCATTTCTTTCTGCCATTAAAGCCCAACTTGCCTAGAGTGTAGTCACAGCATATTCTTCAATAGCTAATTTCATGAACTCTTTCAACCCTCAAGCCCTCAAATTTTGCTTCCAAAGCATTTTGCTTCACTACCCAAATGCTGATTCAGCAATAGTCTATCAACAGCTATTTCTTGCTGTGCAAGATGTATTTCTCTGAGGAATTTCAATACACTAATCAAAATGATAGAGACATTGTTACTGAAACAACACAGGATGTCTGTGGTAAAATGTCCTGGCCTATACACCACCATAAAACTGGAAATCTGCAGTATTGCAAATAAAATTCGCTCAAGGTTTCCCTGTGGGTATCCATTCCCATAAAAAGCAATAATGCGAAGCAGCCATACTTGTCAACTTAAATGGAATTTCCATAAATTATACAGATTCCCCCCATTTAAATCACTTACTGACATATACATACGATCATAAGGGTTGTAAAACAAAAACAAAAAATCAGCTGGACTTTAAGCACACATCAACACGTGTGGTTAAAGTTCAGTCAGGTGGTCAGCTTGTGCTGTGAAGTTGGACAGCGTAACTTCAGCCTTTAATATATTTGTCAGGACACTGGAAACATCTTCATCAGTGGCTGATTGTCCCTTTGATTCCTCTGATGCAGTTTCAATTTAAAATGTTCTTTAGCATCACAAACCTTAGATGCTGCCACCCGAATGTCTCACATTAAAACGATAGTATGAGTATTCTTTGTTTCTTACTGGTGCCAGGATGCAGTTAAATGGTTTTGAAATTGTATGAAGTTCTCAGTTTGGTGGTAGAGTTGTGCATCTTAAGGGCTTGACATGTGTGAACAGTTTTGATTTGAATTTTTTTTTGTTTTTTTTTGTTTTTTAGTAATATTAGTCATTCGATTACTGTATGTCTAATAGCACTTAATGATTTGAAATGTTATTGTAAAGTTTAAAAAAACAAAAAAACAAAACAACAACAAAACCCCTGACTTAGCTGAATTAGGGGCAGAGTTAACTTAAAATCAATGACTGAATAATCCCCTTCATTATCTCCTTTTCTAAAAGGTTTTCACTTGTTAGCCAGGATCCGTGTCATTCTAAAGTAAAGCAGAGTAAAATATTTAAGAGTTCAGTGCAAACTAAAAGCCACAACTACCTTACAAGCTTAAGGATATAGATATTTATTTCATGTCCAGTCAAACTTAAACAGGTTCACTGAATTTCGAAATGCAAAAACACAAAATCGCTCATAGGTAATTTTACTGAAACCTGTGGGACAAGGCTAGATAACTGTTTCTAAAATATTAAGCACAGTGAAAGAAAATGATCTATTATTCTTTAGCCTCTAGTATCAACACAAACTGCTCGTTCAAGGCCGGTGTCTGCTAGTAAGTGAGCACAGCCGGGTCCCGTTTATCCAAACCTGAAGAAGCCTTGGCACTCATATCCATAAGGGCAAATATAATCTCACTTTGCTATACATCTTTGACACGAGTCCAGTTTCACAGTACATTGTGTTTAGAATGAGTTTGTTGTTCTAATAACTGTGCTTAATGGAACCGTGAGGATGCATCTGAATGAGAACCTTTGCGTTAACCTCCTTCGACGATAGATCTGCATGCCTGCACATACTAACGCAGAATCAGACCTCAATGGCCACGGAAGAACGAGTTAAAATGTATTAAAGCATGGTAAA